CACCGCAGCCTGGGCAACAGAGCGAGACTCTGTCTCAAAAAACAAAACAACAACAAAAAGAACTAGGATACCTCAGAAGATGCTTTGGAAAACATGGAGTTTTGAAAGTCTGAGAGCATCTATGGGAGGAATGGGTAAGACAGACCTAGATTGACTGCAGAGTCATTAGAGCACACTGTTTGCTTTCAGCTGTGGGCACAGCTGTGGGAGACGGCAGGTTTGATCGCAAACTCCAGTGAGAAAGTATTTCCCAGCCCTACCTAATTCTCAGACTCAGCTGGGGTGCTTATTAAGCAATGCAGACCGCGTGTGGCGGCTCATCCTTGCAATCTCAGCACTTTGAGAGGTAGAAGTGGGAGGATCTATTGAGCCCCAGAGGTTTTTTTGTTGTTTTTTGGTTTTTTGTTTGACATGGAGTCTCATTTTGTTGCCCAGGCTGGGGTGCAGTGGCGCGTTCTCGGCTCATAGCAACCTCCACCTTCCAGGTTCAAGAGATTGCCCTGCCTCAACCTCCTGAGTAGCTGGGACTATATATAGGCCCATGCCACCAGGCTTGGCTAATTCTTTGCATTTTTAGTAAAGACGGGTTTTCACTGTGTTAGCCAGGGTGAACTCAATCTCCTGACCTTGTGATCTGCCAGCCTCAGCCTCCCAAAGTGCTGGGATTACAGGTGTGAGCCACTGTGCCCGGCCCATGCTGTTCTTAAGGATACAGTCTGGTGCATACACAGCTACTCAGCAAACCAACTCAAAAGAAAAATCTGAGACAGACAGAGCCTGGAAGCAGAGCTGTACGCTGCGCTCTGTGCCTGCAGGTTTATGACCCTGCAGGTTCATGACTTTTTTTTCCCTACTTACAAAAACATGCAAGGGTTTATGACTTTGATAGAGACTTAGCCGTAAGCACAGGTGCCAGGCCACGTTTGGAGGATTATTATACAGTGAAGGTGAGCATCTTCCCTGCAAATCACCGCCAGGTCTGCAACTCGGGATATCAAATGAGAGGGTAAACATAGGTCCCCAAATTAGGTTCTTCTACATTCGCTGACATTTACTGAGCATCTACTACGTGCCAGACATCATGAGAACTTTTTTTTTGAGATGGAATTTCAGTCTTGTCACCCAGGCTGGAGTACAGTGCCATGATCTTGGCTCACTGCAGCCTCCAACTCCTGGGTCCGAGTGACTCTCCCTCATCAGTAGCTGGGATTACAAGTGCCCGCCACCATCCCCAGTTAATTTTTTTGTTTTGTTTTGTTTTGAAACGGAGTCTTGCTCTGTGACCCAGGCTGGAGTGCAATGGCCCAATATCGGCTCACTGCAACCTCTGCCTCCTGGGTTCAAACGATTCTCCTGCCTCAGCCTCCCTAGTAGCTGGGACTACAGGCACATGCCACCATGCCCAGCTAATTTTTTTTTTTTTTTTAAGTAGAGACGGGGTTTTGCCATGCTGGCCAGGCTGGTCTTGAACTGACTTCAGGTGATCCACCCGTAGCCTCCCAAAGTGTTGGGATTACAGGTGTGAGCCACTGAGTCGGGCTTAAATTAGTTTTTTGTAGAGATGAGGTCTTGGTATGTTGCCCAGGCTGGTGCTAAACTCCTGGCCTCAAGTGATACTCTTGCCTCAGCCTCCCAAAGTTCACGGAGGTGTGAGCCACCACACTTGGCCTTTTTAAAAATACTATTTGTGTCTTTTATCAGTTTGTAATTTTCCAACCATCATGTCTTTTAATATTGTCTTTGTATGTATTCTTTCTTTTGATTCTGGAATGCCAATTAAACGTTATTGTTTTTTCCTGTAAAAAAACACTTGTATAAATGTGGTAGATCTTTTTGCTACTTAACCCAGCTATTGGGTGACTCTTGGTTATTGCATTTCTCGTTTTTTTTCCCCTACACAACACTGATGTATGCATTTTTGATTTGTGAGTTACGTCAGCGGGCTTTCTTTCCCTTTCCTACCTACTAGGCCACTTTGATTTTTTTTTTTTTTTTTTTCTTGAGACATAGTTTCCCTCCCGTTGCTCAGGCCGGAGTGCAATGGTGTGATCCCAGCTCACCGCAACCTCTTCCTCCCAAGTTCAAGAGATTCTCCTGCCTCAGCCTCCCAAGTAGCTGAGACTACAGGCATGCACCACCACACCGGGCCAATTTTTTGTATTTTTAGTAGAGATGGGGCTTCTCCATTTTGGTCAGCTCCTGACATCAGGTGATCTACCTGCCTCAGCGTCCCAAAGTGCTGGGAAGGCATGAGCCACTACACCCGGCCTGGATTTTTTTGGGTTTTTTTTGTTTTTTACAGTTTTGGCTTCCTTGCTGATAATTCCAAGTTCTTTTTAAATTTTTAAACATAATTTAAATGTTGTATTATAATCTGTGATTGACAGTTTCACCATGTGAAGCCTATGTGGGTGTCTTTGTTGTTTCTGTTGGTTCTTCTTCATATTATTTCCATTTGTGTTTGGTTATTTGTGTACTACTCATTACCTGAAAAATTATTTGTGGCGGGGTGGGTGCGGTAGCTCATGCCTGTAATTCCAGCACTTTAGGAGGCTGAGGCAGGCAGAGTGCTTGAGGTCACGAGTTCAAGACCAGCCTGGCCAACATGGTGAAACCCCATCTCTACCAAGAAGTTACAAACAAAAAAACTGCCAGGCATGGTGGTGGGCGCCTATAATCCCAGCTACTTGGAGGCTTAGGCAGGAGAATCACTTGAGCCGGGGAGGTGGAAGTTGCAGTCAACTGAGATGGTGCCATTGCACTCCAGCCTGAGAGACAGGGAGACTCTGTAGGAAAAAAAAAAAAAAAAAAGCCAGGCTCGGCTCACACCTGTAATCCCAGCACTTTGGGAGGCTGAGGTGGGTGGATCACCTGAGGTCAGGAGTTTGAGACCAGTCTGGCCAACATGGTGAAACCTGGTCTCTACTAAAAAAATTAGCTGGGCATCGTGGTGAGTACTTGTAGTCTCAGCTACTTGGCAGGTGAGGCAGGAGAAACACTTGAACCCAGGAAGCGGAGGTTGCCGTGTGCCGAGGTCATGCCATTGCATTGCACTCCAGCCTGGGCAACAAGAGCAAAATTGGGTTTCAAAAAAAAAAAAAAAAAAAATTGGCTGGACACAGTGGCTCACGCCTCTAATCCCAGCACTTCGGGAGGCTGAAGCGGGCAGAGCACAAGGTAAGGTGTTCCAGACCAGCCTGACCAAAATGGTGAAACATCTCCACTAAAAATACAAAAATTAGCTGGGTGTGGTGGCACGCACCTGTAATCCCAGCTACTTGAGAGGCTGAGGCAGAATTGCTTGAACCCGGGAAGTCGAGACTGCAGTGAGCGGAGATCAAGCCACTGCACTCCAGCCTAATGATAGAGCAAGACTCCATCCCCACCAAAAAAAATTATTTGTGGGGCTTCTACAAATAATTTGTAGAAGGAACTGCCAAGGGCCAGTCTGTGGCCACGAATTCTCCGGATCTTTTTTCATTTGATCTCTGCATCTTGGATACCTCTGCAGTCTTCTGGGTCATTCATCCCTACCTGAGCTTGCAGTTCTCTGGGATCCCAGTTCCCATGGTTGTTCACCATGGGCCGCTTTGGCCTTGATTTTTACCTGCTCACTCCAGTAAGGCTGCAAAGTAGGAAACCCCAGCGTGCCCACTTGAGCAAATGCCCTGACAGCAAATGTGGCTTCAGAGCCCCACATACCATTCTCTTAACTATTTGGTATGGTGGGGCCTTACTGTATCTTACTGGTTATTTGATCCTTTCAAGATTTTTTTTTTTTTTTTCAGTTGTTCTCAACAAGAAGGTCCGAATAATCTAACTCACCCTTCTCCACAAGAAATTGAAATCCCACAAAATTCAAACCCAGGTCTTTTTGATTCTAAAATCGAAGCATTGAATCACTACCACGGTGTATCCTAGCCTTCTATAAACTGATTTCCTGAGAAGAATGTCAGAGACTGTTAGCTGCCTGTCAATATCCAGTTTTCTCTTTCTTAAAACTGAAAATTTAAGATATCTAGCTGGGCATGGTGGCTCAACCCCACTGTAATCCCAGCATTTTGGGAGGCAGAGGCGGGTGGCTCACTGGAGGCCAGGAGTTCGAGAGCAGCCTGGCCAACATCATGAAACCCTGTCTCTACTAAAATATAAAAATTAGTCGAGTGTGAGCCCAGCTACTCAGGAGGCTGAGGCAGCAGGCGAATCACTTGAACCCGGGAGGGAGAGGTTGCGGTGAGCCAAGATGGCACAACTGCACTGCAACCTGGCAATAAAAGCAAAACTCCATCTCAAAAATAATAATAAGTGGCTATTTTAAAACTTTGCAATTACAGAGATTTTGAGTAAAGAATGTTTTGTTGGACATATTGCACCCAGCTAAAAGGCGGCATTTCCTAGACTCTTGTGCAGCCCTTCTGTGGCTAAGTCTGACGGGTGAGATGTATATAGAAGCATAGTGTAGTACTTCTGCGAGGAAGGGGGTCTCCAAGCAAATGGTGATAGTAAGAGCAAAATGACCTTGGCTGGGCACGGTGGCTCCCTCCTGTAATCCCAGCACTGTGGGAGGCTGAGGCAGGAGGACTGCTTGAGCCCAGGAGTTTGAGACCAACCTGGGCAACTGTACCAAAAAAATTTAAAAATTACCTGGGTATGGTGGCGTACACCTGTAGAAAACCCAACTGCTAGGCAGGATAAGGTGGCAGGTTTCCCTGAGCCCAGGAGGTCGCTGCAGTGAGCTGTGAGGACACCACTGCACTCCAGCCTGGGTGACAGTGAGACCCTATCTCTAAGAAAAAAAAAAAAAATCTTGTTTAAGCTACTACTATTTTGAGATTTTTCAAATCCAAACCGACACAGATGAGAAGAGTAAAAAATAATCTCAGGCTAAGGGACTTGGCGAGGGATCCTGTCTCTCCACTCTTCCATCCCCCATGCACAGGCTACAACTCCCCTCTCTTCCCAAACCCTCCCTTCACAACACACAAACCAGTCTGAGCACAGCCTTATAAATATTGATTTTATAGAAAGGACCAATTCAAAATTGGTCAGATGCCACACGCTAGAAGCTTCCAGAACCACAATGATAGGGGAAAAACAAGAGAGAGAGAACAAACAAAAATACCCCAGACCAAAATGCCTGAAAAAAAATCAAGGTCCTGGTTGACCAAAGGATTCTTAAAAAAACAGATGGCTGGGGGTGAGGAGACCCCGATGCCTGAACGAGCCCAGAGTGGATGGAAAAACCCAGAAATGCAAATCCGCAGTCCCTGCCCACGGGCCCCCTGCTCTGTCAAGAGCCAGGCAAAGGGCTTCACAGCTTTATGGGAGTGGGGGTGATGGCAGTAGCTTAAATAATAATGGGAGGAGGAGGATTTTTATACTTCAGCTTTTTCCCTCCTCTTCCTCATTGGAGAGAGGAGAGAGACTGGTAGCTTGAGGTTAAGGAGAAAACAGCGTTTCCCCCCTTCCCCCAACTTCTTTAATAGGGAAACCATCTAGAAATGGCGGGCTATCATGAAAAAATCCCAGATCCCACCTGTGACCTGACAGCCCTCAATTCCTAGAGAGGTGAGAACCCTGGTGTGGCAGGTTAGAAGAGGTGCCAACCTTGGGCGCTGCGGCCTCTTGGGAAATAATAGCTCCTGCGAAAAAGAATTGGGGCGTGGGAGAGGATGGGGGGCCAGAATGGGGGAACCCTTAAGTGGTACCAAAATTAGCTGCCGTCTGCTCCCTGCTGATGGGTCCCTGGGGTGGAGAGCGTGGCAGGGAGAGGGTAGGGGCTGAATGGAGAAGAAAGTGAGATGCTGATAAAAAAAAATCACCCTTCTCAGAGGGTCCACCGCCCTGGTTCTGAAGAATAGAAAACAACAGGAGCCAGCAGAGTGCTTTCCTGGGTCACTCCCGCTGAACACCGGCTCAGTTCCGTGAGGGGGATCAACGCTGCCTGGAGTGGGGGAATGGGAGCAGGTGGCCCAGTCCGGACCCTCGGCTCCCGGGGGGAGGGGAGGGGCGGGCATAGTGGGCTCTCCCCGCCCCTCCCCCGGCTTCACCTCCCCTCCTCCCGGCCTGCCCGGCCCCCGCCCGGCCCGTTGCAGGGCAGCACCCAGTTGTTATCGTGGAGGCCCAGGCGGCAACCCGGCGTCTCGCGGTCGGCTCGACGGCAGCACATCCAGTAGGAACGTCCGTAAGGCAGGTCGTGGTGGTAGGGCTTGGGGTGCCAGCGGCAGAGCGACACGTCGCCCTTCTCGTATCTCTTGCGGCACTGCTTGCACGGGTCATCACGGTAGAGAGGGTCTCGGCTCCAGCGCGAGTCTGTGGCACGCACACCGAACGCCTCGATGATGCCCTTGAAGTGGTGGCAGGTGCACTTGAGGGCGGCCAGCGCGCGCGTGGGCAGGAAGCTGAAGATCTTGACCAGCACGTGCTCGGGCAGCAGCAGCATGTACTGCCGCGGCTCCAGCAGCCGCTGAATCTTGAAGCGGATCTCTAGGAAGTCGTGCGACACGTGCCGGTACAGGCGGCACAGGGAAGTGTCCGCCGTGCCCTCGGCATCGTCCGGGCCAGGCGCGGTGGCCGGCGAGTCTGCTGGGGGAGGCTCCGGGGGTCCGTCCGGCCCGCGGTTCTGGAGGAAGAAGAGCTGGCCGGGAGGCGGCGGCTCCTCGGGGCTGACCGTCAGGCACACAGTCTCCTCCTTCACGTTCTTGGTGCCGTCCTTGCCAAAGAAGATGCACTCATCCACCACGCCCGTCACCACCACGTCCACGTGGAAGCCGGACGCTCCACAGTCCCGGGCAGGGGGCGGAGGAGGCGCGGGGGGAGTGTCCTCGGGTCTCACAGGTGCCGGGCTCTCACCCTCGCTGGCCTCATCCGCCCTGGCCAACAGGAACTCCACGTTGCTGGGGAGGGCATCCCGCGAGGGGCTGATGAGCTGGTATAAATCACACGTGATCTTGTCCTTGGCTCGGGCCCCAGGACCTGGGCTGCCAGGGTAGGCACAACCAGGCCTGCCCCCACCCCCACTGGGCAGGCCGCTGTCTGGTGCACGGGGCTCCCGGCCGTTGGAGATGCGGAAGGCGATGCGCACCTCCCCGGGGCCTGGTCCGGGCCGCTCCTCCTTGCGGAGGCCCTTGGTGGGAGGGCTGTCCCTCTGCGCCTCGAAGTGGGCCACGGCCTCGGCTACACGGCTGCAGTCCCCACCGCCAGACCGCCGTTCGGACCCCACACCCTTGGCTGGTCCACCCTGCTCAGCCGACACAAAGACTACAGGTGCTGGGGTGGCTGGTCGTGGGTAGCTCTGCAGGGCCAGGGCGGCTCGCTGTTCCACCAGGGCCACCATCTCAGCCACAGAGAGTAGGTCCATGTCCTCACCGGCTGAGGAGGGGCCCTCCTCAGTAGCTGGGGACCCCTCCCGACCCCCTGGATCGGGAGGCGCCTTGGTGGGGTCAAGACAGCGCCGTCTCCGCTTGGCCTTGGAGCTGTCGCTGCCCCAGTGCCCCTTGACCTTCATGGAGCTGGCTCGGCTGCCCCCACCACACTGGTGGGCCACAAAGAAGGCCACCTTCTCCTTTGTATTCCCAGGCTTGATGACATACCACGTGTCCAGGAGGACTCGACCCTCATCACCAGCAGCTGCTGCTGAGAGGAGTGGAGCTGGCTGGGAGGCGGGGGCCTCGGTGGCCAAGGCAGGTGGTGTGTTCTCTGAGTGGGCAGGCCCATGGTCTGGCTCAACTCCGCCACCAGGCTCAGCGCAGGCTGATGGCTTCAGGGCCGCAGAAGCTGGGCGAGGCTGGTTCTGTGAGTAGGTGCCAAAAGGCCGGGGGCACCACAGCTGGAAGGGCAGGAGGCTTCCTCGGTCCATGCTGGGGGATGATGGCAGACAGGCTGGGCTTCACCGCATCTCAGGACCTAGATGGTGGTGGGAGGCTCCACATGCCACCTGGAGACAGGAAGAGGAGGTTGGGGAGCTAGGGGGATGGCCTTTCTTCCCAGGACCACCCAACCTCCACCTCTCCAATGGGGACAGACCAAACCAGACCATTAAGAGCTCAACTCCCAGTCAGGTGCAGTGGCTCCCACCTGTAATCCCAGCCCTTTGGGAGGCTGAGGCAGGCAGATCACCTGAGGTCAGGAGTTCAAGACCAGGCTGACCAACATGGAAACCCCACCTCTACTAAAAATACAAAAATTTGCTAGGTATGGTGGTGCACACCTGTAATCCCAGCTACTTGGGAGGCTGAGGCACGAGAATCACTTGAACCCAGGAGGCAGAGGTTGCAGTGAGCTGAGATTGCGTCATTGCACTGCAACCTGGGCAGTAAGAGCGAAACTGTCTCCAAAAAAAAAAAAAAAACAATCTCTATTCCCACCACCATGCTCAGGTGAACAGACAGAGGGGTGCAGAGGGGATGAGATGCTCCTTTAACTCACAGTGTGAGCCTAACTGGCAGCATGCTCCAGCTCCACAGATCCTATACCACTGGTCAACTGCCTTCACCCACAATCCAGAGGCCTTTACACTGCCATAACCTTTACACTTAAGTGAAAAGACCACTGACAGACAAGGTCCTTTTTCTATTTATTCACTCAGTAGCTTGTTGATGAAAAGACAGGCATTCCCAGCCCTGCCCACAGCTATGGCTGCTTAAACCCACAGAGAGAGGAACGAGATGGGCTGGGATGGGGAAAAAAAATCTGAGGTCAGATTCAGACAAGCACTTAAAAAAATCAGCTTTTCATTTTTTTTCAGGTCGTTGGGCTTAATGAGAATATCTTAAAGCTGTATGTCCTCAGTCAGAAAAATGCACACACTTGCCAAGACAGTGCAGGTAATTCCCTGAAGCATGGCTGTGGACATGTAAAATAAGAGGGCCTGTTCCAGAGCCTAGGAGTTCCAGGCTGCAGGGAGCAGTGAGGGCACCACTGCACTCCAGCCTGGTAACAGAGTGAGACCCTCTAAAAAAGAACAGGCGTGGTGGCTCGTACCTGTAATCTTAGCACTTCGGGAGGCCAAGGTGGGTTGATTGCTTGAGCCCAGGAGTTTGAGACCAGCCTGGGCAACATGGCAAAACCCATCACTACCAAAAAAGATACAAAAATTAGCTGGGTGAGTGGGCCCACCTCGGGAGGCTACTTGGGAGGCTGCGGTGGGAGGATCGCTTGAGCTCGGGAGGTTAAGGCTGCAGTGAGCTGTAATGCTGTGATCATACCACCGCACTCCAGCCTGGGTGACAGAGAAAGAACCCATCTTGGAAAAAGAAAAAGAAAAAAAGGGGGGCCTGTTCTAGTCTAGCTTTTTCCTCAAACTGCGCACAGATAAACAGAGGCTTAGAGAGGGGAAGGGTGATATAGCTAAGATTACAGTGGGTCTGGAGCAAAAAGAGGCTCTCAACTTGGTTTCTGGACTCTTCAATTTATCGTTCTGTTAATAATAACGATTTTATTTTGTAATGATTTGATGTGAATGACCTAATCTGGAGGCAATCTTGTGCATGAGTCCGATACGATCACTTTCATTGCAGTTGCTACCTACTAAGTAACACATACCTCAATCTTTTCTCTGGTCCATCTCCCTCCAGACAGCTCAAAACTAAAATGACCCTTTAAGCCTTGAAACTTCCACATGCCTATAGGCCAGCGAGGGCAGCAAACTATAGCCCAGAAGCCAAATCCAGCTGTCTTTGTAAATAAAGTTTTATTGAAACACGCTCATTTGTTTATGGATGCTTTCATCTTCAACAACACAGCTGAATAGCAGAACAAAGATCACATGGCCCGCAAAGCCTACAATATCCATTATCTGGCTCTTTATAAAAAAAGTTTGCCAACTCCTGCAGAACAGACTGTCCATCTAAATTCAAGCAATTCTAGGCCAGGCGTGGTTGCTCATGCCTGTAATTCCTGAGCAATTTGGGAGGCCAAGGCAGGTGGATCATGTGAGGGCAGGAGTTCAAGACCAGCTTGGCTAACATGGCAAAACCCCAACTCTACTAAAAATACAAAAATTAGCTAGGTGTGGTGGAGTGCACCTGTAGTCCCAGGTACTTGGGAGGCTGAGGCCGGAGAATCGCTTGAACCAGGAGGCAGAGGTTGCAATGAGCTGAGATTGCATCATTGCACTCCAGCCTGGGCAACAAGAATGAAACTACATCTCAAAAAAAAAAAAAAAAAAAAAAAAGGCCTTCACTGAGTAGAAGTGTGTAAAACAGAAAAAACAAAAACAAAAAAACGCAAATCCAGACAGCCTCCAAGCACTCACAGGTACCAGTAAACACGGAGAATCCTCATGTCAAGAATCTTTATTTCCCCCAATAACCCCTAATCCCACCTACTCCTCAAATACTTATAGTCCTTGCTGTAATCTCAGTTCACTGTTAAAAATATCACCCCACAGCCCCCAAAACCTATAGATGGCTGTTTACCAACCACTAATTCACATACATGTTGAGTATCTCAAATCTGAAAATCCAAAGTGCTCCCAAATACAGAACTTTTTGAGTACCAAGATGACACTTATGGGATATGCTCATTGGAACACTTCGGATTTTCAGATTTGACATACTCAACTGCTAAGTATAATGCAAATACTCAAAATCTGAAGAAATCCGAAAGCCGAAACACTTCTGGTTCCAAGCTTTTCGGGTGAGCAATACTTAACCTGTATATCCAGCTGCCCAGGGAGGCAGGCTAACACGGCAAAAGCTAGTTTCTACAGATGTCATCCTGCACAACCTGGCCAGCCCCTCAAGTTCCCTCATCAGTTCCAACCTTACCTCCAGCACCTTAATGTCCTACCCCAAATATCAAAAACCTTTCACATACTAGTTTAAACCAATGAACCTAAAAATATGCTCTCCAGCACAGAAGGGCCCAATCTCAATGAATCTATCACAGATCCCAACACAGCAATTTCCCAACATATGTCATAAACAACCACTCTCCTGGAATCCTATACTCCCCCTAACCCTCCTCCATTATCTAATTCCACTAGAAGCCCTCCAACAGCAGATGAACTCCGAAAACACAAAAGCTCCCTAATACTTTAAGATGAATCTTAAACAATAAAAATGTTTCACAGAGCAAAAAAACAAAAAACAAAAAACAACAACAAAAAAAGGAAACCTCACAAATGTTAGTAACAATAGCAGACATGTGCTTACTGCACACTCGTACTAGGTACTGTGCTAACAATCCTGTAATCCTCCTGGGTCCCTAGGAAACAGGTAGTGTTATTAATCCCCAGTTCCCGATGAGACACCGGTGGAATCTCCTGTCCGGGTTCAGACAGGTAGGAAGAAGTCAGGACACAAGCCCAGACATTCCAGTTCCAGTTCCAGAACTGGTACTCTCCGGCTCTTTGCTTCTGTCTCTCCGGGAACTCCCCAAGTCCTATACCCACTAAACACCCCGAAGCACAAAGGGAACCCGATCCCGAAAACACAAACGAACCCAAACCCCAAGGTGCCCCGAAGCGCAAGGGAACCCCCAAAGTATCCCTTAAACCCCACGCCAAAACTTTCCGAAGCCCCAAAACATTTTGCAAATGCAAAGGGAACCCCCAAATCTTGTAACCGCCCCCGCAAAGAAACCTTCCAAAACCCTCAGGTGACCCTCGAAACCTATGCACGCCCCCAAAGAGCCCTCACCCGCTGCCCCTCCCCCAGGCGGCGGGAGAAAGCGGCAGCCCATACGCATGCGTGCCAAGGTAAGAGGGCCCGCCCCTTCGCTCCTTCCCTCCGGCCACCGCGCGGGCTGGCGAGCAACTAGCTGCCCTCCTCCCCTTTGTTGACAGAAGCGCGCGTGACGCCCTCAGCCAATGAGAGGCCGCCATTCGGAGCCGTGCCCATATAAGGCAGGCCTTGGCGAAGGGGCCCAACTTCGAAATAGGGAGGAGTAGGCGAGAGGTGACGGGAGGGGGTGGTGGGGTAGACACAACCAGATTTAAGGGAGCGTGGAACAACTCCCAACGTCCAGCTAAACAGAACAAGGTCAGGGCAAAGGCCACGACACTCCAAGGGAGGCTTATTACACAACGTTCCCTGGAACAGAAGCCCTGACTGACGCTTGAGATTTAAAGGGCCAGGCAGCGCAGAGATTAAAAACAAGGCGGAAGGAAGCAGGCGGAGAGATCAGAGTGTCCAGCTTTGGTTGAGAACTGTGGGGGGGGGGGGCGCTGAGGATGTCCGCGGAGGAACTCTGCATCGGGGTCACCTGCCCCTGAAAAACAAACGGGCAGAACCCTACGAAGGTTCCCGGGGCAACTGAATCCAAGCCTCTGGGCCTGGCATTCAAGGCTCAGGCCGAGTAGCAGGGAGTTGCCAGTTTAGCCTTTCCAAACCGGCGCCCCAAACCTGCCACACTTAGTACAAAAGAGTCCCGTTAAAGCATAATCCTATAAACCTGACCACGTCGTCCCTATCCTGGTGAGAACCTGCCATGGCTCCCCAGTGCCCTCTGGAAAAAGCCCAGGTACCCCACTGGTCCAGCTGCATACCTCCCCATCCCTCCACCCCGGAGGCAATACCCCAGTGCACCCTGGTGGGCACCTGATCTGGCATACATAGAATACTCACGCCCCATCTGATCCGCGGTAGGAGTGATCATCTCCACCCTATGGATGAAGAAACTGACGCAGGGCAGGTCTCCTGACCACAAGGTCATACAGAGCTGGGGTGTGAACTGCAGCAGGGATTTGAAGCCAGGGAATCTGATTTCAGAGTCACTGTGCCCTACTGTTTCACTATGGGGTATCAACTCGATCACCCCTCCTCCAGGAAGCTGACACCCCCAAACCCCGTAGGCTGGGTCAGGCTCCACCCAGGACACCCAAGCGGTGCACTCACTGCTATCTACTCCTCAGAGTCACCAGGCTTTTGCCTTCCCTGGTCTCTGCATTTGCTGTTTCCACCAACTGCAAAACATTCCCCCTCTACATGGCTC